AAACTAACTTAAATGTGTCTGCAATGGTAAAACCGGGAGCACTATTAGCTGACGTTATAAAGGATGTTAAGGACCTTTCAAAAGATTTTAATAAAAATGACTTTATTCTGGTGATTGGTGGGACCAATGATGTGGAAACCCGAAGAATGGAGAGTCTGATGAGCGACTTTGATAATTTGCTGTTAGGTACCACAAACACAAACCTTGTTTTTGCCTCACTGCCTATGCGCCACGACAAACCGAGATTAGACAACAAAATCAGTGACATAAATGATAAGCTAATTGAAAAAATGAATTGCTCAAAGGGGAACAATAAACTGCTAGAACTTCATCTTTTGCCTCGTCACCTATACACGAACCATGGTCTACACTTCAACAAGAAGGGCAAAAGGAAGATTGCTGAAGAAATTCTAAAATCACTCCAGGACTGCTGCTTCAACCCATCCACAGTCAACAAACAGAAGATGAGACTACCCTCTGACGATGACCCTGTCATTGTTGTCGAAGCAGACATGAATGCCGCAATACACAAGCTAGGAGATGAAGAAGAGGTAGCTTTTGTTCACTGTATCTCTGCTGACGTTGACAGTGACAGGCACATGAGTGCAGGTGTAGCGACAGCATTTAAAAAACATTTCAAGAAACCCTTAACAACAGATTTTGTACACTCACACCTAACTTATCAAAAAATTAACAAAGTTTCAGTATATGGATTAGTAACCAAACCTAAATATTACAGTAAACCAGACATCAGGGATTATGACAAAGCCTTCGATTCTCTGGAACAGGACGTAAGACAGAAAGGCCAGAAGTTAATAGTTTGTTCACCAGCGGGCTGTGTCAGGGATAATGTTCCTGTCGAGCACATGGTAACCAGAATATGTCAGCTGCAACAAAGGACAAATGCCAAAGTGATCATAGTAGTGAATGATGAGAACTCTTCCAGAACTCTCCGAAGTGGGCTTTCTTACAATGATTTTGTAAATAAAATAAAACTTAACATCTTTAATGTCATGAACAAAACCGATGATTCAGGAAGTGGTGCTTCAGCAGACATCACGGTCAACACAACTGAAGGTGTGACAACAACCTCTACTGACAAAATGTCTTTTGATAAAAGTAGTACCTACCTGTAGTGTAAATAATAATGTAAATAGTAGTGATCTTCAAAAAAACTTAACGTCAGCAGCCCAAGTGCATGTAACTTAGCCTTAGATAAACGTGTAAATAAGCCAAAACAATTAAAAAATGTAAAGTTTAATGTAAAATATAAAAAGAATATTCTAAAAAAATGTTTGTTAACTCACTTAAATATTCAGGGATCAAGTTTAAGTAAATTTGTTGTCTTAAAAGTTACTTTAGATCATTTAAAACTTGAACCAGAAATTGTTTGTTTGTCAGAACATTGGATGGATACAAATGATGTTCACTTGCCTAACTGTTTTTCCTCCTATAAGCTAGCCTCAGTTTACCACAGAAATGTAAAAAGTAGGGGAGGGGTATGTATTTTTGCAAAAAATAATATCACTTTTAAAGAAAGGAAAGATATTGATTCTATGGCAATTGAAGAAGCTTTTGAATGCACTGCTATTGAAACAATGAGTGATGAAAAGTCAACCAAAACAATATACATTGTAATTTACAGGACTCCGAATGACCAAAACCTAAAGTTTTTTTTCTCAAGCTTTGAAAAACTATTACAGCACCTTGAGGCAGAACAACATTTGTGTCCAATATACATAAGTGGGGATTTTAATATAGACATGCAAATTGATGATGAAAAATGTGTTAGGTTTAAAACTTTGTTTCAGTCTTTTGGGTACAATGCCATGATCAAGGAGTATACTCGAATAACACCAACTACAGCCACTTGTATTGATAATGTAATTTCAAATGTAAATAGTATTGATAAGGTTTGTGAAGTAGTGGACTTTGGGATATCTGACCACTTAGGTCAGGTAATTTGTCAAAAAAATGAAATAAGGCCTAACCAATGTAAAAAATACTTGTCGAAGCGGGTCATAAAGAAGGAAAACGTTCTTGGTATGTTAAACGGTCTGATTGAAGAGAACTGGACTAATTGCATGTCAAACCTTAGTGCTAATGGTAGTTTCAATAATTTCTTTGGAATATTCTATGATTCTTTTTTGAATAATTGCCCAATTAAACAGAAATCTCTGTCAAAAAATGGGAGAAATAATCAATGGGTAACAAAAGGTATTAGAATATCCAGTAAAAGAAAATGGGAGCTTTATAAAATTTCTAGAAATAATTCAAATCCTGTTTTCTTAGAATACTTTAAAAATTACAAGAAGGTTTTTAAGAAAGTAATTTGGGCAGCCAAAATGAGGTACAACTTAAATTTGTTAGAGAATAGTGATAATGTAGGTAAAACAACATGGAGCATTGTAAAGAGAGAAATCGGTACAAATTGTAAAACAGAACCTTGTCTAGGAATCAAAATTAATGGGGAGGTTATTGACGATCCTATAAAAGTAGCTGATTGCATGAACCATCACTTCATTGGTGTAGCAAATAAGTTTCAGTCCCAGGTTTCGGTGGCAGATTCAATAGCCAAAGCAAAAATGGCAACTCTAAATGTCCCTCATGCATTTGAATTTAAGATTGTCTCTGAATCCGATGTTATCTCCTGCATCAATCGATTAAAGAATAAAAGTTCAACTGGCTGGGATGAAATTCCTACAAATGTAATAAAATCATTGGCTTCTTCAATTATAAAACCACTCACTCATTCTATCAACATTTCACTGCTGACAGGAGTCTTCCCCGACAAATTGAAGTATGCTCAAATTATACCTATATTTAAAAAGGGGGACTCGGAAGAAATTTCAAACTACCGACCAGTGGCTCTCTTACCTGTGTTTTCAAAAATATTTGAAGAGGTTGTTCTCTCACAAATTGTTCCATTTCTTGAATCAAACAATTTATTGAACAAGAATCAATTTGGTTTTCGGAGGGAGAGAAGCACGTCTGATGCAATAGTCGATCTAGTTTCTGAGGCAGTGGAGGCCTTGGACGGATCACAGAGAACCTTTGGTGTTTTCTGTGATTTGTCTAAGGCCTTTGATTGTGTCAGGCATGACATTCTCTTGGAGAAATTGAGATTGTATGGGATATCTGGATCATCTTTTTCATGGTTTTCTAGTTACATCACTAACAGATATCAGCAGGTTGTCATCAAAGATAAATCCGGTGTTAAACATTTTTCTGAATGGAGCTCAGTAACCCATGGTGTTCCGCAGGGATCTAAATTGGGGCCTCTTCTGTTCATCCTCTACATCAATGACTTGTCTTTTTCAATTTCTTCCAAAATTATTCAATTCGCTGATGACACAACAATGCTAGTAAGAGCACCTTCTATTTTTTCTGCAACTAACATTGCATCCCGAGATTTAGATTCCATGATAACTTGGTTTGCACAAAACGGACTACATCTAAACTGTTCCAAAACTCATCTTCTTCATTTCCATAATCCACAACTGAAGGCAGGTGAGATAACAATCAAACTAAAATCAGGTGATTCCATAAAGTCTTCTGCAAATACTAAATTCCTGGGTGTAAACATAAATGAAAATCTAAAATGGTCTGATCATCAAATACAAATTAGCTTGTCTCTAGCAAAAGCACTGTTTGGTCTAAGGGTGGTCTATAAGTCTTCGGGTTTGCATGCAGCTCTTGCTGTGTATCATTCTTATTTTATGTCTAGGTCTTCCTATGGTATTATCTCATGGGGCAGCTCCCCCATTACCAAGAATATTTTTATCTTACAAAAAATTGCCATTAGAATTTTAGCTGATACCAGACCACGTTCCTCTTGCCGCCCCCTTTTTATTGAGATGAAACTCTTGACAATTTATGCAGTTTATATTTTTCAACTGTGCATCTTTGTAAAAAGAAATTATAAGGAATTTATGTTGAAAAATTACACTCATCAATATAACACCCGACACAGGAATGATCTTCAATATCCTGTGCATAGAACAGCTCTGTATGAAGGATCTCGCCATGGTACATGGGTAGGAAAATTTACAATAACCTCCCAGATCAAATTAAAACTGATGAAAATATGTCATCCTTTAAAAGAAAACTAAAATCTTATCTCATTCTCTTGTGTCCTTATTCCCTAGATGATTTTATAAAAACTTAGCTTTAGGTTTTATGGATTGATAAAAACAAAGAATTTAGCATAAGGTATTATTAGATAGTAAAGTGGTATTGACATGTCATATGTTTATATGTGAAAATCACAATCTTGTAAACTTATGTGACGAATAAACATTTCATTTCATTTCATTTCATTAGTATAATGCGCCACATTTGAACCAATGCCCCACAACCGATTTTGTGCATCCCGGGAGGCAAAAAGTCACCGGGCGCTCAAATTTCAGCCTCCCAGCTGGGAGGCACAAAATCAAGCGTCCAGTGGCTTTTTTAGCATCCGACGCTGGCATCCCTAGTATAATCGCCCCCATTTCATTTAATGCCCCACTAGCGTCCCGGTCGCCAGCGTCCTAGTATAATCCTAGCCTAAATCTATATAGGTTCCCACGGTCACGTTGGTCGCAATAAATACCGTACCAAGAAATCTATCCCCTCCACGTCTTGATCCTACTATTAAAACTTAGCTTAGCTCAACTGCTGAGATTTGTCAAAAGACCAATCAGCTGCAACGTACACGCAACAGTGATTAATAAATAAAGGCATTCAACCAATGTAGTGTAGAACATTTTGAAAGTATAGGCCTGTAAGACAATTGGTTGCAATAAACCAAATTTCCAAACATATGTTAAAAGTCTGCTGCTGTTTAAGTAACTTAATCCAAATTATATTATACAGCAGGTATTTTAAATCTGTCCCAAAACCTTAACGCATAACATTAAAAAACACAAAAAATATGGAAAAACAAAACAAATATTATTACTTTAAAGAAGTCCTGGTTCCTAAACCTAACCTATATCAACAGTCAGAACTAGATTTACCTGCGACGTCGATAAAGCCCGAAAATTAGTAAGAGGGTTCCTATAAATATTGTTACTTTTTATTCTAAACATGTTTAATTCTTGAACAGAACTTATCGATCGATTTTATGTCAAATGTACTTCTCAATCCTAATTCATTCCCTTAGTAAGTAACACAAATAGACAGGTGACACGGTGACAGGTCTTCTCTGGTAGTGGTTGTGGTGGTAACATGTAAACAATTGTACATAACAACGCACTGAAAGCACGGTGCGGCACACGGGAGATTTTTCAGGTGCCGTTTAGACGTCACTAACTGCTTGCGTCACCAGTCCACGCTATCACCGACACAGCGATGGTGGGCAGATTTTCACATTACTGTTAGCTAAGCTAAGTAGGTCGAAACGTCATCGTAGATTCGTTCGATTCGGGAAGTCGATGTTGTTTTGTAACATAGCATTCTAAATCACCTGAGGGTATGGGTCCTTTTCCAGACCAATCCTTCCTATCTGGTATTAGTACTTTGAAAGGCTTTCCAAAGGAGTATTTTTTGGACATGTGATCTGAAGGCAGGTCCAATTCATCATTGTGTACCACCTGAACAATTTTGGAGTGCCCTTTATTGTTTCCTGTGGTTATCAATAAATTTTCACATCTAAGGCGTTAGACTGTTTTTCTTGCTACCACCTTGATGTAAATGTCGATAGGTAGCATATCAAGCAGACAATCTAGAGCTGCTCCAGGACAGCTACTTACTGCCCCAGTTATCATTATAAGAGCAAGCCTCTGAACTCCTGCTAAAGCTTTGACAGCTGCAGTAGATTCCTTCTTTGGCCACCACACAAGCGAACCATATAGAATGGCTATGTAGGATAGGATCCCAACCATTTATAATTTTATATTTATATATGTATCATACATTATTTATGTATGTATCATATGCGTCCTAATTATTCATGTTTTATTTTATGTTTTATTACTCTATGTCAACTATGTTGTAGTACTCTTTCAACGGAACATATACGAACTGTAAATCATACGATATGACGTAACTCTGTCTAATAAATCCTATTGGTGGAACCCGATCACGCCACTTCCCACTTCCCTGAGCTGACCGTGTGCCGGCTCTTCTCTCTCTCATTCTCATAGTCTCATACCATACCCATCTTGAATCCGTCATTACCTCCACCATGTTTGTGACTTAAATGCGTGTTTTTTGTTTATAGCGTATTAGTACCCGTTCTGTAACAGGGCGTACATTATGTAGAGATACGAAAAAGACCAAGGCTGTTCTACTGTGACTATCAGATTCATAGAAACGATGATAACAGATAAAGGATCAAATCGATAGAAAATATCGAAGTGACTATGTTGCAAAACAACATCGACTTCCCGAATCGATCGAATCTACGATGACGTTACAACGACCTGCTATACGACCTGCTAAGCTACGCAGCAATGTGAAAATCTGCCCACCGTCGGTGTCAGCGTGGACCGGTAACGCAGTTAGTGGCGTCATAACGGCACCTGAAAAATCTCCCGTGTTTTGCACCGGCCATACTTTCGTAATTTATATGACTGCCTCTATGATGAGTATTCAAAACATTGCCGATTACCATTATTAATAGCTCAAGATTTGATATGATGGGTTTTGGAGAAAAATTGTGTACTTTTCCTGTCGTGGGTGTTCATTAACCATATTGATATGCCTACAGCTTCGTAATTTATGATACTGCCTCAATGATACTTATACCGAGTATTCTACACATTGCCAATTACTATAGAATAACTTAAATTTTCATGTGATGGGCTTAGGAGAAAAATTGTGCCCTTTTTGTTCTTGCACGTCCGCATTAACCATATAGGCCAATAGATTTGCCTACAGCTTCGTCATTTATGGGACTGCCTCAAGGATACTTATACCGAGTAGTTCTTTCATCTACGGATTGTGGTGAAGACATCGAAGGTAAAAGATTACCGTGGATATAAATGAATTAAATTAGTCGTTTATTGATTGTGTGCAGCATATTTGATCAATGCCACTGTAAGGTTTATATATATATATGTATGTTTGTGCGTATTAAAACCATCTTATTCGTCTTCACTCAACTGTAAAACACGTGTTTACGTTAACACCGGCTGTGGGAGTGGAGGTCTGCGTTCAGCGATGCGGCACACGGGAGATTTTTCAGGTGCCATTATGACGTCATCATTAGTGCTGAAGACTCAACCATAAATAAAACCAATATGAATCAACCAAGGCAACACTAAATACAGAGCCAAGAGCGTCGAAGTATGCATGTAATTGAAAATGTTTTAGTAACATCTTAAAGATTTCATATCAAGGTTATAGTTTAAATCTTTCAACAAGCTATTTTATCGTTCATCAGTTCGCCTACATATTTCAAACTAATCAGGATATCTCTCCCTCCCTAGTCCCTTCCCTGTCTAAGTCTTAGAACCCCCCACCCTGTGGGTGGGCAGATTTTCACATTGCTGTTGCTGTTAGTAGGTCGTGACGTCATCGTTTGTTCGATTAATTTGGGAAGTCGACGGTGTTTTGCATCATATCAAAACATTTCACATCGATATCGATATTTGGCCAGCGATAGACGTCCAGAAGATTATCTAGTTCAGCCCACACTTGCAACATCTTGTTTACAATGGAGATTGCATTTCTGGTTCATTCAGATGGGATAAAAATTTCGAAGAATAAACTATGTTTTTGACATCCTAAATGGCCGTACACTAGAGTCACTGACTTTATTTCACTTAGCTACACACTTAGCCTTTTCTTGACGGAAAACATGTTTATAAGAAAATACATCTTGAAGTTTATTTAAAAGAATAAGTAGGTTGTCGAGTAGCACAACAACCAACACAGCTGTTTCGACAAAACTGTTTGAGCTACCGGAAGCGGGGTTATCAATATGAAATATTTAATTTGTCTTATAATCGTTTTACAGACAGTTAAAACCTCACTATTATCTCTTATATTAATACGTGAGGGCTGTTTTTGTGAACACTACTCCTCCCTTATTTGTGGAACAGTTTCAACGATTTGTGTTAAAAGATTCGGCTCAATTCGTAGTTTTTGCATTATGGTTTTAGAATTTAAAAGTGCTTATCCTTAAGGGCGTGAGACCATTTCAAAGGTCGGGTTTTCACCATAAGAATTACATTGAACAAATTTATAAACAAAAAACAGCTGTATATAAAAAGATACCCCCGCCACAGCAAACCTACAGACTTAGCGAATTTCCGATTGGATTTACACTAATGTGTCTCCTTTAATAAATCACATTTATTCCCTATTTAAATATAATTAGTTTAACGAGTAATTAGGTTTGCTGCAACAGGGAGGGTAAAAAAGTGTTTGTTGTTGTAAAATGTTAATACTGTAGTTTAGTAAGAAATGAATGTATTTTCTAAATTTGATCAAAATATGTTCATAAACAAGCAAACTACAACAGTTGACATATTCGCCATAAGAATAACATACAGTGTTAGCAAAACGGGAGTGCCGATGGAAACCTGTGGGGATGCGTGCGTGTGAAGGGACTTGACCTGGCCTCCATCGGCACTCCCGTTTTTGCTAACACTGTAAGAATTTTAAATTTACAATTTTTTGGAATTTTATTCGTAACCATTAGGCACATAATAACGCTTCAATATACTAAATTATTTGCTTTTTAAGCTCTACAAAATGGTTCTGTAAGAAATTGTGAAATTTAGTGTTTTTAGGGAAAAAATGGGGAAAACCTATTTTTACCCCATAAACCCCCGTTCCCATAGTCAGATCATGCTGGTTCACGATCTCGTTTCAATAAATGTAGGTTTACACGTTTGTACCAAATTTCATCAAAATCGGATCATTTTTGCTCGAGTTATCGAGCTAACGAACACAAATATAATTATATACATATATAGGGTGGAAGGGGTTTAAACGTTTTATTTTATATTACGTGCCCATTCATGCACCAAACTTTTTTAAACTTTACACAGTTTACAAAGTAGGTTCTAAAAATATTCTGGAAAAATTTCGCAAATCCTGTCAAGCAATTACTAAATGGCAACCTTCATGGCCGTTGAATTGGTCGCGGAAATGATTTTTTAGATTGGCCACCCCGATCATTTGATTTAACCGTTTGCGACATCTTTTTATGGGGTTTCTTGAAGGAACAAGTTTATACCCATAGCTTCAATAATGATGAGGAACTAAAACGATCAATAGAAGAGGAACTTCTCCGGATACCGCAGGGTTTCTTTGTAAGAGCTTACGAATAATTTGTTACGCGCTGTTATCAGTGTGTTGCTGTGGATGGGTTACAGTTTGAATAATTTTGGACATTAAGGTTTTCCATTAGGCTATGTTCTAGTTTTTTTATTTAAGTCATATTGCCCTGGAAAGTAACAATAAAAATATTTTATAAAACCAAAAATACCTTCTTTAATGCTTTTAAAGCATCGTTTTTCAATATGCCGCCATTTTGTTTCTACTAAGGTTAGGGAGTTGAAATTTTTCCAGAATATTTTTATATCATACTTCTTAAACTGTGTAAAGTTTAAAAAAGTTTGATGCATGAATGGGCATGTAATATAAAATCAAACGTTTAAACCCCTTCGTGGGACAGCCCGTACATATAGCCTATACAAATTTGAATGAATGGTGTTTTTGGCCTCTGGGGACATCAAAATGAAAAAGTAAATCGGTCCCGGGCCTAGGTCTTACCCTGCCACCTATGGTAATAGCTACTTCCCTATAGGGAAATTTGCTAAAACTTGAGCTAGGTGATCACTAACATGTTTATTAACCACAGAGGCTATATAATTATTTTCTAATGAGGTGAATATGTTGTCCAGTAAATTATCACCTCGTGTAGGCTAATAAATTGTCCTATACATTCCATACATACTAAGAAGGTTTACAGAGTCACTATCATTACAATAAAGTTAAAAAGTTAAAGTCCCCACATGCAATTGGATCGATATTCTTTCTGCCGATTTATTTGGCTTAGCAACTTTTCTAAGATGCTAAAAAAAATGTTGGAAATTTCCATTAGGACTACCATATATGGTCACTAGCAATACGTTTATATTTAAATATCTAATATTTCAACAACCGTTAATCAAAAGAAAATGTATTCATATCATCCATTACCGGTACTTTATGGATGTGTCA